GAATGGAACTCAAACGTCTTGGCTGTCACTCTGGAGTTCTGCCCTGATTTGAAAAAGTTCATTAGAAAAAAACAGACCTCCCCCCAAATATCACGAATTAGTGCCTAGGGTGTAGCAGAAACCCAATAAATATATGCTGATTGAGTGAATGAAAGGTTATACTAATAAAACAGTACCTAGCCTAAAGGAGATTCCAGTTCTGTAATACTCATGCTTGTCAAGCCAGACCTGCAGGATTATATGAAGGATTTGAAAACCTAAGAGTGATGCAAATAATAATAATAATAACAGCAGCTACCAACTACTGAGCCACCATTATGTGTTAAGTACTTTTTTCATATTATTTCCAATGCTTCTAGGGGACTGCTCTGGGGGAGAGGGTGGAGGGACAGCTAGCAGCCTTCCCCAAAGTAGTGTGTCCATTTGCAGAATGCTGTCCCTGGCCGGTGCCTTCAGGCACCCTTCTGTTCATGGATTCCATCTGGTCACGTGACCAGTTCCTGCACTGGAATTTGAGCATCTATGCTATGTCCTTTGTGGGCTGAACTGGCAAAGCAGCATGCCTTCTCCACAGCCTCTCTTGCATCAGAGACAGGACTCGAAGAAATAGAGGGAGATAGAACCACAGGAAGAAAGGAGCCTGGGTCCCTGAATCACCACATGGAAGCTCACACAGAGTCACTTGTACTTAGCTATAATGCGAGTGAGAAATAAATGTGTTGTATGCTAACCATCGACAGTACGGTGTTACTGGCCTGTTTCAGCAAACAGTGTCACCCTGACTAGAAAGAAATTAGACTGGAAGAAGGTACCACCATGACTACGGGTTTAGAGGACGGTGGTATGCAGTCAGGGAACTGATTCTGCAAGGTGGAAAGTCAGATGCACAGTCGTGTTACACAGTGGCCGGATGTGCTGCCAAAGCTGCCTCCACTGAGCCTGTGCTTCTATCGTAGAGCTTCTCGAATGTGGTCGCTGGACCAGCAGCCTCAGCACTGCCTGAGGATCGGCCAGAAATACAAACACAAATCCTGCACCCCATCCTAGATCTACAGAACCAAGGGCTCAGCATGGGGGCCCAGCAATCTGTGTTTTCACAGCCCTCCTGGTGAAGTGACGCATGGGTAACTGCTTCATGGGATGTGCAGTGTTACGACAACTGACACTCAGTTCTGAGACGGGGCTTCCGCTCAACTGCCCTACGCTGCATGCCTCTTCGTTTCCTCCTTCTTTCCACCTCTAGGGGACCTGAATCTCAAACCACATCCCATTTCCACCCACACCTCTTCCTGGTCAGATCCTACTTGGCTTTTAGCTCAGCTTGGGAGTCCAACCTCTAGGAAACCTCCCTCTGATCCCAGTTGTGCTTCCAGAGTGCCTAAACTGTCCCCATGAAGTGTGGACCGTGCTGCGTTGTAACTGGCTGAGGCTCTCGAGGGCTGGTTCCAAGTTCTGAGACCAACTTTCTAGGAAAGATCAGCCTTCCCAGTAGCTCCGGGCTGGGCTCAGGCATCTCTTCCATTTGCAGGAATGAAGGCAAGGGATGGTGTGGGGCCCTTACCTGCGTGGGACTGCATGTGCTCCAGCAGATTGTTGTAGAACTGGAACTGGATCCCACAGGCGCCGCAGGTGTAGGGCTCTAGGGAGACAGGAGGCAGCAGCGTGAGCGGCAGGAGGACTTGGGCACCCTCTGCTGGCAGATGTGGGAACCCAACAAAGTGGGGGCTCTGGGCCCAGCCTGTCTGCCTCCTGTCAGTACACCAGCCAGGGAGAGACTGGGGGCAGGAAGGAGCGATGGACAGAGGAAGACGCGTGGACAGAGACCATCTGATCCCACCAAGCAGATATTTATTGAGTGCTTACTGCGTGCCAGGCACCGTTCTGGGCACGGGGGACGGGATGGGGGAGGACAGCACCGATGCAGAGAGCCCTGTGAGGGCACAGACCACGCCTGGTTTGTCCAGCTCTCTGCCTGTAGAACCACACGGAGGGCCCTGCTCGCCAAGTGAACAAATGAATCCATGTACGAACAGAAAACAAGGGAACAGACGCGAGGGCAGTGAAGGGGGAGAAGACGTAGCAACAGAAAGGAGTGAAAGGCGGGAGAAAGCCAGGGCCAGGTGGTGGCACAGTGGTGACCAACGAGAGCCATATGGGAAAGGTCCTGGGTTTGCATCCTGGGACCTCTCTGAGCACGCAGGGCACACGTGCACACCTGTGAGCGGAGCTGGCTGAGATTGGGAACGAGTCAAAAAGCCAAGACCCTGCTGAGAGTCTCCCACCATTGCCTCTCTTTCTCTGATGGAGTGAATCAACAAACTTAAAAAAAAAAAAGAAGCAGAGAAGAACCAGGAACTGGAGATAAGATGGGCATGGTGAGGGGAGGGCATGGAGGAGCAGGGGACGAGGGTACAGCGGCCTTCAAGGTTCAGTTCTGTGTTCCCAGCACTCACGGCTGTGCCTGGCAGAGAGGAGGGAGAAGACGGGACAGAATAGCAGAGATGGGGCTCGGGAGAGGTCTCCTGAGGCTGCCCTGGTGACTAGGAAGGGGGAGCCTGTGTTCCTGTCAAGGCTTGGGTGGCTCTGTCCCACCCTGTCCAAAATCCCTCCACCCACCTGAAGCCAGGCCCTCTGTCTGTCTCTGCCTGCTGCCAGATCTGCCCAGGGGTGCGGTCCAGGCTCATCTCACAGCCCAGCTCAGAGGCCCTTGGGGAGGCCCTGAGTGGCCACTGAGTTGCCTCCCTGCCCTGCCTTGCCCTCTCCAGCCCCCCATGGGACCATCACTTACTCTTCAGGAGAGGGAAAGGATTGGAAATCAGGGGACTTGCAGTTTCTGCAAAAGAGAAACAGTTTAGCTAGGTCTCTTCCAGTTTGCTGTTCTGTGATGACTGTCATTATTTCTGCCCTTAATAACCAGTGAGCCAGCTGGTGTGCCTGGCGGAGGACGGGCATCTGAGAGCCAGGTTCACAAACTATTGTAGGACTGGAGATGCCTGACACAGGGGCCACGCCCTTCCTGCGCGCGCAGGGCCATGGGCAGGACCATCCCTCTAGGACACTCCCAGCTCTGAAAGTGAGGCCCCACGAGCACTCACGACAGGAGGCCTGCATGTGGCAGCCTGTGTCAGGACAGGGAGCTGGAAGCTGCTTCTGGGATCTGGCGGCGGGATGGGAATGTCTGGCACCAAACACCAGAGCAGCCACAGACTGGGGCCGGGCTTTTGAGGGCTTCTGCTCACTGGCATGTCACCCATGCTTCCTGGCTCTGCCAGAGCCACAGGTTGGTGAGCCGCAAACACAGCAGGCAGCAAAGCAGGGCCAGGCGGGCCAGACAGGGAATCCCGGCCCCATCACTGACAGTCGGGGGGACCTGCGGCAACAACTGACCTCTCCTGATCCTCAGTTTCCTCCTTCGGAAAGTGGGGGTAACAAGAACACCGACCCACATGGGGTGTGGTAAGGATGAAGACAGGTAAGACACAGAAAGCTCTGAACACATGCCAGGCACATCGTAAGCGCTCAATAAATGGTGGCTGCCGGCAGCCACAGCCTCAGACAGTGTCATCCACAGTGTGGACATCAGCTGTGGGCAGGAGAGGCACAGGGGGTGCAGCAGGGCTTGGCTGAGAGCACAGGGGACCCCCGGGGACCTTGGTTCAAGTCCTGAAGTCACTACTTATTCCTATGTGGCCTTGAGCAGGTCACATCATTTTTAGGTCAGCCTTGGGAGATACTGTGTGGGTTGCATTGTTAAAAACTCCACCCCTTCTGCAGGACCCTCATCAAGTCACTTGGTTTACTTAAAAAACAAACAAACAAACAAAAAAACACTTTTCTGGGGGTTTGTTTACTTAAGATTTTTGCTATAGAGCATGTGCGTTCACCAGAGAAACAGAAAGTGAGAAATCATCCCCCCAGGGGGGATGGGCACGCCACAATCCCTTCTCCTCCATTGTCCTCTCAGGATTTTGAGCACACACGCACACACACACACACACACACGCACATGCACACACGTGCCTGGCTTGACTTTTAAGCTGCCGAGTCCGGGACTTGAATTGCGGTGGACTATGTGGGAGTCCAGCAACATAACCATTATGCCATCTACTGGTTCCAAACACCAAGAAAATCAACCACCCTTGTGCTGGGCACTGGCTGAATGTTCACAGCCACCACAGGACTGGGTATGTTCTTCAGGCCACTTTGCAATAGAGGAGAAATGAAGAGACCAGCCAGTAAGTGGTGGAGCTGAGTTCGAATCTGGGCTGGAGACTGAGGCTGGAGTTCCTAGCCCTGGTCAGAGCCTCGCTGTGCACGTCTGTGTCCTGGTTGGTTCATAAAGTCCCTGGTGGTTGAGCCGTGCCCATCACCTGCCTGTAACCAGGCAGGGCCCAGCACAAGCCAGCACAGACAGACACCCAATATTTGGTGCATCCAACTTGAATTGTGCAAGGCAGTGCGTGGAGTGGGCACCTTTCTCCTGTGGAAGCAGTGTCAGAAGTCCTTCTCCCTCCTGTCCTGGCCAGCGCTCAGCCTGGCTTGCTGTGCCTTTCTCGGACAGGCTGCCTGTGCCCCTACCAGGCTGCACATGGATTGGTCAGAGTGATCCTTGGCAGTTCTGGAGGCTTCCGCGTTCCGTCAGAATTCTGCACGAGGTGACCATCAGGGGGCGCCAAACACCACCGGGAACCTCAGGCAAACTGGTAGGGGCTGGAAGGGAACCTTTGTTCCACAGTCCCAGGCCCAAAGTGGAACCAGAACTTGGGGCCTCTGGTTCTCTGAGCTCTACTGCACCCCCTTGGCTGCTCCTGAAAAGAAACTGGCTGTGACGTTTACCTTCAGAACACAGCAGTGGCTCTCTTGGGCCCAACCATCAGGGGCCGGCGGAGCTGATGCCACCGTGGAGAGGGAAGTTCCTCTCTCCGTGGGGAAGAGACAAAGAGGAGCCACGATCCCGTGATGCCCGAGACCCAGAGGGGTGACCCTGGAAGAAAAGGCCCCTCCTGCTTCTGCCTGGCCCTGATCTCCCTCTAAGTTCCTGCCCCCAACCTCCTCCCGACAAGGGCCATCATGCACCAGAGACCCCGGCCCACAGAGCGCCCGCTGCCCCTGCCCGGGACGGGAGCGGCGGGGCGGCTGTCCCATGGTACACTCACCGCTGGAGTTTTGCGAACTGCTGTTCGTCTCCTCAAAGTGGTTTTGTGCTTTGCCTTCTACTCTCCGACTGAAAGCGCTTTCTGCTGGGTCGGGGAAGGGAGAGAGAAAGTGAAACGAACGGTGACCCATGGTGACCGTGACTGTCAGCACTAGGTTTCAGGGAAGGGCATGCAGGAGGCCCCTGGGCTGGGGGAGCCAGCAGGAGGAGGGGCTGCAGGACCACAGGCCGAACCCAGCCCCTCAGGCTCACCTCACCAGGGCCCCCAGAGACCCACCTCGAAGTGCTCAAAAGGCCGGGGCGTGGTGGGGGGAATGACCCATGAAGAGCACACAAATGAGATCCAGCCAACAAGCAGAAAATGGATGGCCAGGTCCCTGGGAGCCACATCTGTTCCACCAAGTCACCCAGACCTGCCACCCAGCCCTGTCAGGTTGTGGAGCCACAGCCCGCTGACAGTCAGAGAGGACAACAGTCTGACTCCGGGAGGTGGCCCTGGCAGAGCAGAAGGGCCCACAGCTTAGTGCTGTCCACAGGATGTGTGGTCCCTGGTCGCAGGGAGGGAACCCTGGGACAGAGGCACAGCAGAGAGCTGGAGCAGCTTCCACCCCCAGGAGGCCAGATCCCGGCATGTTTGGGGAAGGCTGGGTTAAATAAAGCCAGATGGGTCTCTTCCCAGTTCCGGGCAGAACTTAGAGCCTTTGATGCCCTCACGTAAGTTTCTCCTTAAGAAAAGGTCCAGGGAGACCAGCAGATGGCATAATGGTTAAGTCGCTGGACTCTCATGTAGTCGATTACAGTTTGAGTCCCGGACTCAGTGGCTTACAACTCACACTGGATGTGTGTGTGTGTGTGTGTGTGTGTGTGTGTGTGTGTGTGTGTGCATGCCCGGGATCCTCAGAGGAGAAGGTAGGAGAAGGGATTGCGGCATGGTCATCCCCCCGGGCGGTGATTTCTCGCTTTCTGTCTCTCTTGTCTTTGTCTGTCTCTCTGGTGAGTGCATGCACCCTATAGCAAAGAAAGAAAAGGTCCAGGTCTCTGCACACCCCAAACTGGTTTGTTTCTCGAGGCCTTTATCTCCTGGGATCTAGCCAGAGACCACCCAGGGGAGGGACTGGCTCCCTGGTTTCCAGGGTGTCTCCACATCCAGGCTGGCACCTCCCTCCGTGTCTCATCCTCTCACTTCCAGGTGCCCCTGGAAACCTCACAGTACAGGGATGGGGAGAACCACACATTCTGCACACCCACACCTATAGACACAGAGTATCTGAGATAGAAGATTACTAATGCTTCCAAGGCGGGCCTGGCACAGTAGGGAGGTCAGATGAGCCAGAGATATGGGCCTCAGGGAATAGACCCATTTGGGATGTGCAGAAACCTGGACCTTTCCTTAGGGAGAAACACACATGAGGCTATCAAAGACAGAAGTGTGACTGGGAAAGGCGTTATTTAACCCAGTCTTCCCCAAACACACTGGGGTCCCCACAGAACCCAGTCTTAAAAACATCAGATCCTGCCATAGCCCACCAAAGTGGTGATCCTAGGAACCCTTTCTGGGAAATGCCACTCTCACTGGTCCACCCTGCTCCAGAAGGACAAGTACTCAGACTGAGCATGGGTGTCCAATGGTCCTGGGAGGATGGCGAGGCCAGAGGCGGCTCCTGCAGGCTGTGCTCAGTTCCTTTTCACTCACTCACCTCAACGGCACCTCTTATCACCTCCTTGCTGCAGAGGCGGCTGCCAACACCACAAGGCCAACCCAACAAAATATGTCTGCAAAATGCATGGGCTAAGAGCCTCCAGACAGCAACTGCAGACCGGTCAAAAGGCCCCCCAGCTCCCCGTCTAGGGAAAGGGGAGGGGACTCTAATCTACTGGGCACCGACTTGTGTGACACTTTTCATCCATGGGCTCCCTTAATTCTCCCAGTACCCGTACGAAGGCTACACTGTCATCCCATTTCACAGGTGAAGACAAAGGAAAGAATGAGACTGCCAAGTTCCTGGGGCGGGGTGTGTTCCCAACCCTGTAAGATGGTAGAACAGACATCAACCTTGGGCCAGACACTTCCTTTTTGATAAGATAAGGGGAAGGGACAGGATCCTCTTCTCCATCTTCAACCTCGTGTGCTTAGGGGCCTGGTCTCCACATCTGGAGGGTTTCTGTCCTGACCAACACACCAGCACAACTGAGCACAACTGAGGCTATGTACTAGTGACTGGCCTCCGTTGCTCAGGTGACCATGCAAACTCTGAACAGCTCTCTCTGCTTCAAGCACCTGTAGCTGAACACCAGTGAGCAGTCCTATAAGTGAAGTGTCACCTGCAGGCATCTCACACAAACCCAGGGAGCCACTTCCTGCAGGATAATAAGAGCAGTGACAACTTCTACCTCAAACTCGCCTGGTCTATAGCCCCTGCAGATCTCTGCTCCCAACCTGTGCCCTCTGACCTGCCCAGCTGGTAAATCCAAATGCCATCCCCACTATAAGTCTCCCTAGTCACACAGAAGCAGCCTGAGGCATATCCCGAGACACGAAGGTTCAAGGGCCACACACACCAGCCCCTGAAGGCAGCTCTCGTCAGAAATTGCGGACGTACGAACTCCCAGCCACGAAGTTCAAGAGTGGACGTTAGATTCGAAAGCCATGGTTCCATTATATGGTTGACCCAACATTTACCACCAACGAGACCGTGGCGGCTAGCGTATCTCTAAGTACCGTCATGTACTGCTTAACAACAGGATCTGCTCTGGGAAACGCTGTTAGGTGATTCTGCCGTGTGAGCATCACAGAGTGGACTTGCATGTACCTGCACAGTACAGCCAATGCCACCACCGCTAGACGCGATCTGTCATCGACTGGAACGTCAGCGCTCATCTGCAGAACCACAACAGTGACTTTTTTCTCAGCATGTGCCTGCAAAGCCATCAGCTCCAAAGTTGATTCCTACTCTTCTTTTAGACAATGGAAACACAATCAATACCTCTTCAGAGGACTGCACCCCTGCTCACGATTAAACTCCTTACCTGGCCAGTAACAAGCAGAGCCGAGGCCTCGACCAGGTTGGCCATAAGCCACCAAATGAACCAGGCGGGCTCGCTTTCCTGAGTTCTCAACTTGATCATTCCTATCTTTAACGGATGGCTTTGGCCTCTGAGGGTAACGGGAAGGTCCAGGGTCCCGGAAGCATCACTTTATCTCTCTACCCTGCATCTCACTGATTCAGGCAGGCAGTCAGAGCTTGGTCTTTCTAAATATGAACCTGAGGACGCCTGACAGCTGGAGCTCAGTGGGCAGTGTCTTTCTGCTAAGTTTTCCTGGAGAACACACGACAGCCACAAAACTTCTACTGCCTGTTCACCCTCTGGAGCCAGAACCCTCTATTGCATGGACTCCAAAAAGGCTAGAACTAGTATTCACCAGCTTCCTGCTGGGCCTGCATCTCCTGGAGGAGTTTCAGAGATAGGGCTAGGTAGGAGGACGCTGAGAGAATCCAGCTCGAGGTCAACTATCCCGCTTCATGTAAACCAGTTCCTGGTGGAAATGAGTTTTCAGTCTGAATTTTCTGAAAGTGGGGAGATGTTAACTCATGCCAACAGAGTCCATGTAAGTGGCATAAATGGATGAGCGGGGCTGGATGTGAGACAGACAACAGCATGAGCACAATGAGAAATGACACCTGCCACGTGGCCACTATGTGGGGAGGCATCAGGGAGTGGTGGGGACTGTGGAAAACTGGAGAGCACAAGCCCTATTAAAGGAGGCAGCCAATTGCTTCCCTGCAGGATACTGGGCCCAGGACCACCTAGTCTGATGCTTTGATGACAACTACATATCAATAGTTTTGTGCAAAATCTCCTAACATTCGAATATCAGCAATTGATTTTTAAAAATTTTAAGACCAAACGGAACAAGCTCCATAGGTCATGATTTGGGAAAAAATAGTTTACCACTTAAAAACAAAACAAAACAAAACAAAAAGCTTGCACATCCCCTCATATGGCCTCTGATTTAGGGTGAGAAATTCTGGCCAAAGAGGTTGAGAGGCTTGTCGTGGTCACAGAGCCCGCCAGAGGCAGAGCTGGCAGCCAGATTTGCCCCCAGAGCATTATGGGACTTCAACTCCTGTTCCTGCAAAGGAACAAAGACCCCGGGCACAGCTGTGGCAGATGGAGGGAAGGACAGGGAGTGAAGGAAGTGTGGATGACGTAGGCCATTGGCCACTGATACCTGCGGTTGCCTTGCTTGCTGGAGATCCCGAATTTGGAGTGCGGAACGTCTGGGTTTGGGTGGCTGGAGGGGTGCGTTGTAAGAGGGTGGCGCATCGGACCACGGACGCCGGAGCTTTTTTCCCCGACTGGTTCGTCTGGGTCTTGGCTGCCACGAAGCGTGGAGACGGGGAGACCTCTGGATGTGAACACTCAGAGCCCGTGTCTGGATCGTCCGGCGGCTCCCACCCAGGGGCAGTACCTGAGAGGGTCACGCTCTCAGTGCCTGACGGCCCTTGGAACTGGCGGGTGAGTGGCCTTTTGGGCCACAGGCCCCCACACTTGAGAGTCGAGACCATCTCTGCCCAACCTCTTCTCATTCCACAGAGAGCAAGGACTCTCGCTCCCACCCAGGGCACAACAAGGTCCAAGACTCTAGAACCTTCCCAGCTTCTCCTCAAGGAAAGCCTGACCGCTAGCTCATGTGCAGAGTTACCTCGAAACCACTGAGCAGCCCAGTGTACAGGTTACCCATAACCCTCAACCAGTCCAGGCTCAGAGTGTCTATGAACTAAGCCTGTGATCTGTCCTTAGGGCACTTGAATTAGTTAACACAGGCCCAAGTGCATTTTCTAGAACACATTTTCTAAGCTCCTTTTCCATCAGTGATAGAAAGCTGAGAGACAGGAGCCCACCAGGGTTGGCTGATGGGGGGAAGGAAGGAGGTAGGCCCCTGTGCTCCCCCACCAAGGTTCGGAAGAAGAGCTTCGACAGTACTGGGGGACGGGGTACAAACTGAGAACTGCCACTCTGGGTGACAGTGCTTAACCCAGTGCCTGACTCTTTTGCTGAAAAAGCAGCAGCTCCCTGAGGCTGTTAGGGGAAGCCTATGACCAATCCCAGGCTCCTGCCTGCCTCCCTGAAATTTCTTGCAGAAGTTGCAGTCATTGAGAACAAGGAGCTGAACTCTGGTGGTTGGGAAGGGCCGAATCTGCCTTCTTTACCTGGCCTCGAGCCAGTGCTGTGGTGGCACCCTCTGAACTTCACCGTGTCCCTTGTTACAGACAGAAGTGAAGTGGGTAGAGGTCTTCTCACTGAGTGGTCACCCAAAACTGCACCTCTCTCTTCTGGACGCAGGAAGGGACCCTTCAGTGCTTCCCAGGGGTTCCTCGGGCCCCCAAGGACTAAGAACACCCTGAGAGCACCACCTAGCCCCAGTGCCTCGCCACAGCACGGGCCGCCCAGAGGGATCCTCTGCTGCTTCCTGCCCAGGTGGGGGAAAGGGAGGCCTCAAATACCTCTGCTCTCATGAAGCATCCAACTGGGCAGCAGAGACTCACTTTACCTACTCCTTTATACCCCAAAATGAAAGTGCCCCCCACCCAGCCCCTCCACCTATGCCTACTCCTGCCACAAGGGAACGCTTAGGCCCAAAGAAACAGGATGCCAGGGCCTTACTCAAAGTCCTACAGGAAGTGAGTGGCAGAAACAGGAAGTTGCTTCATAGTCCTCACACTACCCTGAGGCATAGAGGGGAGCTCAGTGAAGCCGGGCTGCCCCTTACCTCTCTGGAAGTAGGTGGAGGGCCACTCACTCCTCCACCTACTATGTTGGTCAGATGCCAGGAGTTGAGGAGTTCTTCCATCATGGTCCCCTTTGAAAAAGGCCTCATCTGTCTCACCTTAGCTCAGAAGGACATCCACGCGGCCTCCGTTTGGGAAGAACATGAGTGTCCCTTGCTACCAACGGCCCACTCTGTGGGTGAGGAACTGAGGGTCTGGGTGGAGAAGGACCCCTCCATGTACTCCCTGCCACTCTCCCATTCTGAGTCGAGGGCCTCAGAGACCCCTGAGGCCAACCACAAGTATGGCTCTTCTAGGAGTTTCCAATTTTAAGCCAGAGTAAATCTGCACATTTGGCACTGTGAAAGTGTCCACAGTCCGTCTCCCTGTGGGAGGTAGTCTGGGGACCACAGTTGCGGTTCACTGACATGGAACCAGCACTGAGCCTGAGTGAGGCAAACCCACCTGAGTCCTGGTGTTACTGTCAGCCATTATGACCCGGGACTCTGCATTTCCCTTCCTGTGGCCTTAGTTCCTGTCACCTCCCACCCACTGACAATAGTGGGCGACTCTTCTGAGTAGCTTCATGGGGACTTTGCAAGAACCCAAGAAAGTCACCGGAGAACCCGGAATGGTGAACTATTCTTCGGATATCAGCAGCTATTGTGATAACCTGGGGGAATGTGTCTTTATAGCCACGTGGAGTGAGTGCTGGGGTGATATGGGGCTCGGGTCTGCCCCTACTCCAGGAGGCCTTTACATGAGACATGTCACGCCATGATAGAACTCGCACATTCCAGGGACCTGGGTCCAGGGAACTGATATTCCACACAACAGCCTGAGCAGGCCGTTTCCCCTCTAAGGCCTCAGTCTCCACTCCTGCAGGATGCGTTCTAGAGCTCCTCTGATGGGACATTTTCCTAGTCTGTGATTCCTGCTATGAAATTCACCCCTCAAAACACATTCATCCTCCAATACCCTTTCAAGCTCATGGCTTTTGCACATGTTGTTCCCTCTGGCTGGAATATCCTTCCCTTGCATTTTTGACTGGTGGAACTCTACAGTACAGTTAGCTTCACTTCTTTAGGGATTCCTCCCTAATACCTCCCTTCCTGGCCGTTCACTCACCAGTCTCCTCTTTCCTTCCAAAAACTGATTGCCATTGATGACACACAGTGTGACATTCGATCCAAGTCTATGTCCCATTAACTTGTATGCTCCATGAGGGCAGGAACTCTCCTGATTTGACCTAACCATGTACTAAGAGCCTGGCACATTTCCTGAAACACAGTTAGTGCTCATGAACAGCCAGAAAAGCAGACCTCAGAAATGCTGAAGCAGAGCATATCAAAGATCGAATGCTCAAAGCCAGGGCATAATTGTGCCACAAAGCCATCTCACAGGTTATCTTCCTATTGGCCCCAAGGGGATAGGCAGATAGGGCCACTAGGCTTAGAGAGAGTTGGGTCTCACTTTAGTGTCAAAGAGTGGGCTGGAGCTGAGTTAAGATTCAGAGGTTACATAATAGTAGGAAGCGACTGAGTTCCCATGTACAAGAGAGGAGATACTTCGCTGAATATTTCAGGCACTCAGTTGAGACACAAGCCACACCTTAGAAGAGCTATTCTAACCTAGAATAAGAACTATTCTAGGCCCACCCTAATTCAGCTTGAAAACACAGCTTTGAAGTATCAAGATGATCTGTAAGTAAATGAACCATCTCAACAATGAACTCAACACTTTTGAAAGGAAGACAACAAAATCCAGTAGGTCCACAATACAACATCTGCAATGTGTGACAGAGAATAACAATTATTTTTCAGGTAGAGCAGGAAAATGTGACTAATAACCAAGAGAAAAACCAGTTAACAGAAACATACAGAGATGAGAAAAGTAGGAGACAAGGACCTTAAAACAGCTAGTATGTATGCATATACGCTCAAAGATTCAAAGGAGAACATGAACATGAAGAAGAGAGAAATGAAGGCTGTGAAAAGGAACCAAATAGAACTTACAGAGAAGAAAAATATAATTTCTGAAACAAAACCCTCACTTGATGAATCTTTTTAATAAGGCATATTAGACACTGCAGTATGAACGATGGCTGAACTTGAAGATGACACAAGAATCTATCCAAACTGAAGCTCAGGGGAAAAATACAGCTGAGGAAATGAACAGAGCATCAGTTGATCCGGAAACACTGTCAAACATGTCATGTATATGTAATTAAAGACTCAATAGAAGAGGAGAGAGAGACTGGGGGAGAAAAAAATATTTGAAGAAACGCTGACTACACAATTTCAAGTCTGAGGAAAAATATAAACCTGTTGATCGAAGAAGCTCAATGAACCTCAAATAGAATAAGCACAAAGAAAACTATACATCATAATCAAATTGCTAAAAGCCAGTAACAGAAATATTTCGAAGTATCCAGAGGGAAAAAAGATACGCTAAATATAGACAAATGAGGCTGACCCTGTAGCTTCATGGTTAAGGGAGTCAGATTCTACATGGCCAACTGAGATTCAAACCCTGGCCTCAGCAGCTTGAAAATTACACTGGATGCACGTGCGTGCCCCAAGCCTGCCAGGATGGAGAGATGGGAGAAAGGGCTGCAGTGTGGTCACACTCCATCAGGGGAGTGCTTTCTCCCTTTCTATCTGGCAAGCACACACATGCCCTTGAATAACAATCAGAATGATCTCTAACTTCTCATGAGAAACCACCTAAGCCAGACAATAACAGAATAACATTTTTTTAAACACTGAAAGAAAAATTTCTCAACCTGGAATTCCATATCCAGACAAAATATCCTTTGATAGGTTATGTGAAATAAAAACACCTTCGGCTGACAGACTCTTTCACCTACAGATCTACGCTGTAAGAAATGGTAAAGGAAGTTCTTCAGGAATAAAGGAGAGTGATAACACATGGCATTCAGGAAACGGTAAATACATAGGTAAACATACAAGGTATTTCTTCATTTCTTAATCATTTGAACAAACGACGGACTGTTTAAAGTAAAAAGAGTAATGGCTGGGTTTATAACATGTGTAGCTCTATATGTATGATAAGAACAGCACAAATAACAGGACAGCAGTAAATGAGAAATATACAGCTGTAAGGTTTCTACCTTATATGTGATGTGTTATGCTATAAATTCATGGTGGACTGCAATATGGGAGAGATGTATATTATAAGCCATAGATTAACTACTAAATAAAGATTCATGTTTAGAATAACAATTAAAAAAAAAAAAGAACCAATAAGAACAAATGGAACAAACAGAAAAAAATAAAAGACAAACTTAAATCCAACATATCAATCAATTATATTAAATACAAATAGGGTAAATACTTCAGCTCAAAGGTAGGGGTTGACAGACTGGATAAAAAAGCAAGAACTCATGCATGCATACACTTCAAATATAAAGATGTAGACAGATTAAAAGAAAAGGATGAAAAGAGATATATTGTATAAACACTGATTCTAAGAAAGCTATAGTACTAGATAAAGTAGATTTCAGAACAATAGGTAATACTAGCGATAAAGACAGGCAACACACAATTTAGAAGGGGGTCAATTTGTCAAGACATAATGATTCTAAGTGTGAGTACCCAATAATAAAGTCAAATTACACAAACCAAAAATTGACAGATCTAAAAGAGGAAACAGATAAATCCCCAGTTAGAGTTGAGGA